GGAACAGATAAAGCATCCTAGGCAAAATATTCATTTTGACTGTATCAATACGTGACTCAAAATTTAAAATTGGTATTAAGTTCCATCTTTTAATATCCTCATTTATTTTATAACACAAAGGTTTAAAATTTACATGATATATTTTAGAGAGATCTTTAGTGATATTTACTCCAAGATACTTCATTTGCTCCAACTCCCAATTCAAATCCAAGGTGTTCTGGATGTGTTGTTCAGAGCTGCCTCTGGTTGAGAATCGAAGCCAGAAACTTTGAGATGTTATAGGTGATCGAGTTGATCACACAGACAATCGGTCTTAAAGGTGCACCCTGTTTATGTATCTAAGGTAAACCATACAGACTTGGTGTAGATTCCCCTGGGTATAGCCTGTGGTATGAGGTCCAGTCAATAGGATTGTCAGAAGCAGTTTGAACAAGACAATCTATCACCCTCTTCCTGTAACCACTTTCTGGGTCTTGCTTCATAAGTATTTTTGTCACTGAGCAGTGATAAAATTTACTCACGATGGGCTTTCTGGTTTAGCAAAACTGTGCACTTACCCTTGTCTGCCGGAAGGATAATAATGTTGTTGTCATTACTAAGTGATGTGAGTGCCTTCCTCTCCTCCATGCTGATGTTGCATGCTGGGGGCTTTGCATTGCTGAGACCGGCCAAAACCTTCGTCCGTAGTTGCTCTGCTTCCACGTCTGCAATATTGTTGTTTTGAATTGCTGTTTTGTGGCTGTGATCAGTTCTAGTTATCCATCTGGGAAACCAAACAACTTCTGGCGAAGTCGGATGGCACAACACAGAAAAGCTAACTGGTCAGGCCACAGACTCCACAGATTGTGTTCTAAATAATGTGGGGGATTATTTCCTCACATCCCAGAAATCTACATTGAAATCTGAGTAACAGTGTATATACGACAGAGCTAAATCAATGTTGCACCACTCACACTTGCTTTGAATATCTAATGGAGGGCTTGCGTCTGTTCTTGTGTGTGACTAGGACATCGTGGCCTACAACTGTGAGGAGTCTGCCTGCTGCTCGCTGCCCTTTCCCATCATAGCGGACAGCAAACGGGAGCTGGCAGTCGCCCTGGGCATGCTGGACCCAGATGAGAAGGACAAAGATGGCATGCCCCTTACTGCCCGCTGTGTGAGAAACATAAACACACATTTGTTTTTGGAATTTGTGCCCCATCTCTGCTCATTCCTGTGAAGGTTTTTATCCCTCTCACTGGGAAACTCTCTCACCTTTTTTCCCCCCACCATCTAGGTGTTTATTATTGGTCCTGACAAAAAGTTAAAGCTGTCCCTGCTTTACCCAGCCACCACAGGACGCAATTTTGATGAGATCTTGAGGGTGGTGGACTCGCTCCAGCTCACAGCAGGGAAGCGAGTAGCCACACCTGCCGACTGGAAGGTATGCCATGCATTTGAAAGTGACCTCAGTTGCTGCCAGTTATTACAGCAGCTGAAGGCACAGATAATAGCTATAGGACCTGAGCAGCTGCTGTGTTGACCAGCAGACTTTTTGCAATGTGTCTCTTCCTCCAGCCTGGAAACTGCGTGATGGTTCCCCCGAGTATGTCTGAAGAAGAGGCCGCCTCTTTGTTCCCAGCTGGCGTCTACACCAAAGACCTCCCCTCTGGCAAGAAGTACCTGCGCTACACACCCCAGCCATAAGCACAGGCAGAAAGGATGCTGATATTCAACACTTGCATCTGTTACGTGGACTGCAATGTCCACTGCATGGACAGCGCTCTCACCTGGTTGATAGACATCCCAGCTGTGAATAAGTCCCAGTCAGCATGGATGGAATGAATACCAGTGCCTTATGATATAGGATTGAGACATTTAGTACAACTTCCTCTCCTCAAGCTGCCTACTTTCTAAGAAGACAGATGGAAAGGAGCTGTCATGGGGAAATAGATTACTATTTGAATAAAAGATTTTTTTTAATCTACAGTGTGGCAGAATAAGTCTCTTTTTTTTTAGCAGAAATACTGTTGGCATGTTGTTTACAGGTTCAAAGGTAAGATGTTTATGATGCTATTTAAGCCATACGTTGTATATCATAAATACATATAGGAATATGACCTCACAAATAGGTTTATTAATATCCATACCCATAAGCTACTCCCGTATTGATGCCTTGATGTTGTCATACCATCTGAGGAGTTTTAACTAAATCAAGAGCTAGCTAGTTTGGTTAGCAAGGTCCATCTATAATCAGCTGTGATATTAATAAGAGAAAATGCACAGCTGACTCCTTAGAAGGTCTCCACAACCCTGCACATAAAAGATGGACGTAGCAAATATGACACCACTGGCATCTGTTGTCCTTATTTTTCAGCTTGGCGTTAGTTTAGCATTAGCATTAGCATTTAGCTTGGTTAGAAAGTTGCATATATAAACTTTAGGTGTGCAACATACAAACATTAATAGCTCTACTTAGTGTTAAGTAACTGTTACTGCTGTAACAAATGACCATTACAGACATGAAACATGATGAAATAAATGAATACAATATCACAAAAAATAGAAAGATTTGAAAAATGTTTCAAAGGGGAGTTCAATTAGAAGCTGAAGAGAAAGCATTCATCTGCATGTCTAGTAAGGGTTGCTGGGGTGGTCAGGATCCATTCATCATCCACTGTTATCTGTGTGACCTCTTTCTCAGATGATGGAGAAATCCAAACAGTGTGCTGATTCAAACTACACTCAAAATAGCAACAGCAATGACGAATTCCCTTGGCCAGTAATATGGATGCATTCCAGCAGCTGGCAGTTCAATATTCAGGCTGCAGAAACATTTCCTTGCAGTCTGGGATTACACCACCACAAATACAAGAAGATTTCTCATTACTGCTCAGATTAACACCCACGCCTGCTGAATAGTTCTGAAGCCAGGTACATTCACTCTGTGGTCTGGAAAATGTGAGTGTGGCGACGTCTCACTGCAACGCTCCATGAAGCACATCAGTCAACACTCATGTGTTCCCTCAGAGCCTTAATCAGTTCACCGAGCTCATCCATCCATGTAATCTAGAGTTGAGGGGAGACTGAAAACAAATTTCTTGGGTGGTCTGTACCACACAACGGGCCACAATATTTGTCAAATAGTTCAATTAAAATACTGAAAGGGCCAGTTCAGTGATTCATAGGTCTCTTCCCTCGTCTCTTCATAGAGACTAAAACTGATATCAGGCAGTAAACATCCCTTTTAATGCTGTAAAATTTGGCATTTCAACAACAAAAATTCCAAACCAGACTCAAGTGGCCAATCTACTGTATACATTTGTGGATGTTTTAGGTTTTTGAAGCTGGATGTGGTGATACTTTGAGAAGAGGTGCAACTTGTAACAAAATTTAATATAAGAGAAGAGTGGGGCTCTTCTCTTTACAGCTGTCAAGTTGAGCATGACAAGCTTAAATCAGTAAACATAATTAAATTTGGCAATAATGTTTACAGTGTGTAATACTGGTCTAATATTAAACTGCTGACAGTGATGATGCAAAACTTTTGCAAGAACAAATTAACCGATTTCACTGGATTTTTTACCTCGACCAAGTTTTTTTGGTCATGCAACATGGTTTTGGTAGCAAAAACATGTTGCATCATGTTTTTGGTAGCATTTCTGTGCGTGCGTGTCATTCTGTGTGTAAACACATAGCTCATAAAGTTTTTAATGAATTTGAATGAATGCAAACTTTGTAGTGGTGTAGAGTCCGGTAATGTTAACAATCTTATATCCACCAAGGTCTTTAAGTAATGATGATTTATTTGCCAAAAAATGACAAAAAGCCTCATAAGTTAGAAACTATAATTCTTACAAGTATGGTGTGTATTGTTAACATATAGAAAGTACCTTATATAAAGATTTAAAATATCATGTTGCATTTGACCTCTAACCTCCTTCAATAGATTCATCTCAAGGTCACCGTGATAATAAAGCTTTTGAAAACATTGTTTCTTTGCCATCGTTTGTATTGACAACATAAAAGAATATAGGGAATCTATGTATATACCAAATGTATGTATATGCTACTGCTTACTGCCCAAAGAGTGAGCTGCCTTGGCTGAGGTTGGCTTCTTGTTGGATCTGTAATGACATCACAGTGTGAGCGGTGGGTGGACGGAGCTACTAGGCTGGCATTCCAGCTCTAACACCTTCACCCTAAGATGCATCGCTTCCCCTTCCAGCTCCCAATTTCTCAACTCCACTTCCTTAATGCAGAGCATCAGCTGGACTTCCTCAGCTGATGTTCCCCACCGCAGGACTGGGAGGAGCTATAGAAGTGGTTACAGGAAGACTAGTGGAAGGAGTAGGTACAGGAGCTAGTGGCTCCACATCAGCTATGCCTGCCCCATCCGCCAACAGTCCCCTCTCACCCAGTGCCTTGGCTATAAGCTGCCACAGTTCTTCCTTCCTCACAACCAGTGGTGTTTGCATATTAAAAAGGTTGGCAATAAGCATCAAATCTATCATATTACACTTATTCAACTGCTGCAATGTAGGATTCCCAGCAAACTTATCCAAATCAAACTCCATTGTGGCTAACAACACAAACCAAACAGCCACCCAGCAACACGCAGACAAACCACCCACCTGGGCGCTACAAAAGGAAACGCAAATGGAAAGGACGAGCCCCCAAATGCACACACACACATATATATACATATATATACATATATATACATATACACATATATATATATACATATATATATACATACATATATATATATACACATATATATACATACATATATATATATACACATATATATACATACATATATATATATACAACATATATACATACACATATATATATACACATACATATATACATATATATATACACACATATATATACATATATATACAATATATACACATACATATACATATATATACACATATATACATACATATACTATATATACATACATATATATACATACATATATACACATACATATATCACACATACATATCACAATACTACAATATACACATACATATCACATACATATATCACAATATACACATATATATACATACATATATACACATATCAATACATATATATACATACATATATATACATACATATATACATATATATACTACATATATATACTACATCATACATATATATCATATACATATATATATATATATATATATATATACATACTATATATCTAATATATATATATAATATAAAACATATATTATCATAGTAGTATATATTGTAGTATAAATATATGTAGTTATATATATTGTATATATGTATGTACTATTATACAACATTATACATACCATATATATACTTTTTAATATATATACGTTAGCATATATAATTATATATAATAATATGGTATATATATATAATATTATGTATGATATATATATGTATATGTATATATATGTTATTATATATTATTATACTGTATATATATGTATATGATATATATGTAGATATGTAAATTAATATATGTTACTAGTGTTCATATATACATATAATATATATATATAATTATATATGCTATATTATGAATATATATTATATATTATATATATGTATATACTATATATGATATATAATAATTATATAACTTAATATATATATATATATTATATCTTATATAATATATATGATATGTATGTAGTATATATTACTATAGAAGTTAAATTTTTAATATTTTATATGTATGTTATATATACAATATATATTATACACACACACACACATAATATAGATATGTCCAGGATCTCCTCTGTGACTTTGTTAGCTTTGGCTAGCACTGTCCCTGGCCTCCTCTGTATCCTAAGTTAGTTGTGTTTGAAGTGTTAACTCAGCTGTGTGGGATTTGGTGTTCCCTCCTCACCGGGTTGACAGCATCAGCTAAGAGCTTATCAACTTTTATCTAGGGGAATGATGGCAACAGGCTTCCCCTCTGTGAGCAGCAGACAAGAGAATTTAAGGACAAGGGAGGTGTTAAAAACAGGAAATGGAGGGATGAAGTCAAGTGAGGAGAGAACAAAGGACAAGCAGTTTAAAAATGAATGTCACTGCACGCTGACTGGAAGGACATTAGCTTGTTTATCCAGACACATTAGGCTGGAGTGACAGAGACAGGAGTGTTCATTTGAAATATTTATTAGGAATGCATTAGAAGATAACACTCTATGATGTTTGACTTTAACTGCCACTTGTCCCATTCAGCCTGAATTTGAAACACATAGTTTTACACAGAGATCTGATGCCATATGTCATCTGATAAGTCCTGCATATATGACATAGTATCACATGAGAATGTTAAACCCCCATAATGGAATTAAAAAACATTATTTATACTGAAAAAAGCAGCAAGGTTAAGACGTCTCGTTCTTGATTTGTCATCACTGTTGTGTCACAGAGAGCGAGCTTCATCTCAGACACCTCCCACCAGCACTGTCATCTCTGGCTCATGAGGGCCTGGCACTCCCTCTGGTGGGCGAGCAGTCGCAGGAACACCTTGTACTTCCTCTCATAGAAGCTGAAAAAAAAAGGAAGGAATAAAGAAAATCATGAGATAAATTTGATGCCTGCTGTATATTTCAGATTTCATTCCTAAAATATCCCATAACTATATCAATTATTAAACACAAAGAAGGCATCAGAGTCAAGCGTTTCCTTTCCTGTTGCAGAATTCCTCACCTCTGGACTTCACTGTCAGGCTGGACGACTTTCCCCACTTTAGCCATTTTTTCCATGGCCTCCTGAAACACAAGACACACACATGAATTTCATTCAATAAATGATAGCACACTGATTCAGCTTCATGTCAGCCATGACCCAGTTATAGTAAAAGCAGCAGCCTGCTGCTGTGGCGGAGTTTATAATTAATGCAGTGCAGGGCCCCTCTGCTGTCTAAACCTACAAAATCCATGCAGCTGACTGTTTGTAGCTCG